CAGAGGGAGAAGCAGGCTCCCCGCTGAGCCGGGAGCCCGATGTGGGACTCCATCCCAGGACTCCGGGATCATGACCTGAGCCGAAGGCAGTCGCTCAACCAACTGAGCCACCCAGGCGCCCCCTAGGAATTGATTTAACCAAGGAGGTGAAAGACCTTTATACTAAACACTGTAAGACACTAATGAAAGAAACTGAAGAAACAAATAAATAGGAATATTTTCCTTACTCCTGGATTGGAAGAATACTGTTAAAATGTCTATATATCAAAAGCAATACACAGAATCAATGCAAGCCCTATCAAAGTTCCAATGGCATTCTTCACAGAAATAGAACAACTTAAAAATTTGTATGGAACCACAAAAATCCTGAAAAACCAAAGCAATCCCCACCCACCAAAGCAATCTTGAGAAAGTAAAACAAAGCTGGAGGCATCATGCTCCCTGATTTCAAACTATATTACAAAGCTATATAATTAAAACAGTATGGTACTTGCATAACAACAGACACATTGACCAATGGAACAGAGCAGAGAACCCAGAAATAAACCCATGCATATATGGTCAACTAATTTATGACAAAGGAGCCAAGAATACACAACAGAGAAAGGGCAGTCTCTTCAGTAAATGGTGTTGGGAAAAATGGACAGCTATATGTAAAAGAACAGAACTGAACCACTATCTTAACCACACACAAAAATTAACTCAAAATGGATTAAAGACTTGAACGTAAGTTCTGAAACCTTCAGAAGGAACCAACCCTACTGACAGCTTGATCTCAGACTTCTGGCCTCAAGAACTACAAGACAATAAACTTTGACTGTTTAAACCACTCAGTCTGTGACCTGGCATGGCAGCCCTAGCAAACTAATAGAGAGTAAGAACTGGCTAAATGACAATCCGGGACAAAAAGGAAGCCTTTCACCTGTTTATACTTTGAGTTTTGAACCCAGAGTAACTTTTCAAAAAATTAAATAAAAAATTTAAAGAAACACTATCAAATGAACAGTGGCAGGAGTCAGAGACTAGATAAAATCTGGAAAACTAATGTGTCCTTTTCAGTAATGCAACCGAATTTACTGGCTCTCAAATACAGTGCTGTATTTGAGACATTATGCTAAATCAAAGTGCCTTTTCACACGGGAGCTCCTAAGGCAAAGCAGAAGAGCACATGCATAGCTTGTATCCAGCTAGTAGTTACAAGTGACTCACCATTGGTATCTGGTTTGACTTTTTCCTCCTTGATTTGCAAATTACTCATCTGAATGGGAATAAAAGGAAACACAGTTAAGCAGATGACCCAATCAAAGGAAGTCCCCTGAGCAAAGAGAAGTTCCCTAGTGAAAGTCTAGCAGCACCTATATTCAGGGAGCTGTCCTGCTCAAGCAGAATTCCTACAGGCTTGGGTGAAGACATCATTTCATATCTTCAAGAACCTTAAAGGGGGGGGGGGCAGGGGTGGACTAAACAGAGCAGATGGGAAAAAAGTTTGACAGCAATCTCAAACCTCTACTTTTCTTCCAACTTAAGCTCTTTCTAGAACATCTACCTTCATTAAATACCTATGATAGCCTTTCAATGGCACACACACTCACTGTTCCCTTCTTTTTAGTCCTGAAACCCACACTGTATTAATGCAACACTTAGCAAATAAATTATAGCCTTCTTTCCTGCCTTATCAACCACCTCCACTATGAGTTAGGTAAAAAAGTTATTATGATGAAAAAATCGACAAATTCATACTCCTGATTTAGAATATTTTGGAAACGTGAACAGAAGGTTTTTATTTATTTATTTTGGCCACTAGTCCTGGTCAATGCAAACTTGCTTACTAAGCTGCAAATGAAAGTGCAAGCAGAGCAATAATTTTATACATTTGTAATGAAGTCTCCAATCTCATGAGAACTATTTTTCCATATTCAAGGTATTGTTAAGAGTAAGGGTGTGAGGGAGAGCCTGGGTGGCTCAGTCGTTAAGCGTCTGCCTTCGGCTCAGGTCATGATCCCAGGGTCCTGGGATCGAGCCCCGCATCGGGATCCCTGCTCAGCGGGGAGCCTGCTTCTCCCTCTCCCACTCCCCTTGCTTGTGTTCCCTCTCTCGCTATGTCTCTCTCTGTCAAATAAACAAAAATCTTAAAAAAAAAAATAATAAATAAATCTTAGGAAAAAAAAAGAGTAAGGGTGTGATACAGAAAGGGTATTATAAAGCTATGTTGTCAGGTTCTGAGAAGCACCCCAAATCAAGCACTAGACCCCAAGCCCTGCCCCCCAAATGATCCTTCAATTGATGCATTCATTATCCTTATGATAACCACCATTGTTTCCTGAGGGTATTTAGAAATATTTCCTCCTCCCTTCCCCCACCCCTCAACTGACCCTGCTCCTGGTCTTTGGGAGAAGTCCACCCTCACACAGTGGGGATATTCATCGCATCTCTTTTGAAGACCAGGTCTTCCAGAGAAAAATCAAATCAACACACTACTGGAGATGGACACCCTTTCCCAAGGCCAGTGGGAAGGTTGGCACATAACAGAGAAGGTATTTTATACCAGAACTTATCCACTGATGAACCCTCATTTTTAGGCTAATACACAGGGATCCACAGAAGCCAACTAATCTTGGGATGGGCTGAAAATGCACATGAGACAGTCTGGAGTCCCCAAACCAACCAAGATGATTAGTCTCAAAGCCTGCCTGATGAAAATATGGTTATGAAACCATAACCAAATCTATTGTATTATAATTTGACAAATACATGTGCTAACAAAAGATGACGTGTTTAGAAGCTAGAAAGATCTAAGAACTTGTCAGCATTTATTTGGCTGCATTCAAGGGGAAAATTACCGGCAGATGAGTATTCCTGTCTTGAGAGACTTAACTCCACCATGGGAAAGAGGCAGGCCAATCAACTCTCATTCTCCTTCATTCTGTATTCTTCTTCAGTGAGGAACCTTCTGATTATTAATCATGCCTCTCACAGAAGGCAGTGTCCTTGACACTGGACACAGGTTTTCAGTTATGATAAAAGCATCCTTCCTCTATCCAAATTAACAGAGTAGCTCTGAAGGGTGGCTAAATTTCCGTCAGTCCCAGAGTCCCTGATCCATGAAGGGGTGAACTCAGGCACTCAAAGACACTTCAACAAGGCTTCAAGATCTACCTCTATGACAACTCTAATTGCAAAAGGGTTAGATTATGTCTCTAAAAAATTCTTAGGGTTGCCTTTGGGTTTTTGTTTTTGGCTGATCAGGGAAAGGGAAGGAATTAAACTGGTGATATGGCCAGAAAGAGGTAGCAAAGGAAGCCATTTGTGTTGGAAGAGATGAAAAGTGACAAGTGAACTGGCATCAGGTCCTTTCTAGTAATTCAAACTCTCAGAATCTTTTATCAGGGTTCCTAAAAATGCATCCAAACTAAACTGCTGGACATACCGCTCCTTTTCCTCCAAACCCGTTTTTATATGCAGGGAAGACTCAAGGTACATCCTTGACTACATAAGCTTAAACCAAACAAAAATCCTCACTGTGTGTAAGTTAAGATCTTTTTTAAGATTTTATTTATTTGTCAGAGAGAGAGACGGAGAGTGCACACAAGCAGGGGGAGCGGCAAGCAGAGGGAGAAGCAGGCTCCCTGCAGGACTCCACCCCAGGACACTGGGATTATGACCCGAGCCGAAGGCAGACACTTAGCCAGCTGAGCCACCCAGGCGTCCCATAAGATCTTTATCATTGTGCGTACTCTGTCATCTTCTCTGTCATTTTCATTCACTACGTGTACACTTGAGAGCACGGTCACATGATAACCTAACATAAATTATTTTTAAGCTAAGTTACACAAGTCTACATGGTAAAATAAAAAAAAGGGGGGGTGGTCTTCCCCAACTATTAGGAAGCAATGTTTTGTTTTTAAAAATTTTATTACTTGAGAGAGAGAGAGAGAGCTTGCGCGAGCAGGGGGGAGGGAAAGAGAGGGAATCCTAAGCTGACTCTGCTCTGAGCAGGGAGCCCGACTCAGGGCTAGATCGAATGACCCCAAGATTATGACCTGAGCCAAAACTAAGAGTCGCACGCTCAACCGACTGAGCCACCTGGATGCTCCTAGGAAGCAGTGCCTTAACACATTTATTTATACCAGCCTCCTGAGAAGCAGAGTGATTAAAAGCAGATACCAAGTATGGATATTTACAATATCCATAATATCATAGCTAGATTAGAGTCATAGGCTTAAAAAGATTTGAAACCAAGTCTCAGTAACTTTTAGGAAAGATCTGGTGCGAAACAGTGGATCTTAAATCCTACTGTGCCAGAACCTTATCCTTTGTAATACTCTTTGATTTCTTTGTGGGTAACAGCCAGTTTTATTACCTGCCCTGATTCTTCTCCTGAACTCCAATGCCACATTTCCAAATGCAAGATAGGTGCTGTGCATAAAACAGTTAACACAGCTAACAGTTTCCTATCCTTAGAAAAGCCAGCTTGCAAGGTTGGCCGCTGTCCTGCATCTGGGGACTTGGACTTCATAAGGGTTCCCACCATTCCTAGAACTGCTGAGGGGGTTTGCTATGCCTAAACTGTTCGAAAAACATGTGACTTATGTTAAACACCTGCTTTCCTTCTGCAAGCCTGGAATTTTGGTACACGCTAGGCAGAGGGTGACTTTGTCTCCCCCCCCCATAAGAACCCTGAGAACTGAGTCTCTAATGAGCTTCCCTGACAACACTTCACATGTGCTGTTACAATTAGCTGCTGCAGGACTTAATCAAGCTGAGTATGTAAGTCCACTAGGAGAGGACTCTCGAAAGCTGGTTTCCTCTGGACTCTGCTAGATGTGCCTTTTCCTTTTGCAAATGTTGCTTTGTATCTTTTCATTGTAATAAATATAGCTGCGAGTACAATTTTATGCTAGGTCCTGTGAGTTTTCCCAGGAAATCACTGAACTTGGACTATTCTTGGGGATTCTCAACACAGGTACTTACCAAGATGTCCTCCTTACCTCAAAATCAGAAGAGCCAATCCTCCATATCAAATCTGCCCTTCCTCCCACTTCCCTAGTCCTGTTATTAGCATTTTACTAATACCACCTGTGGGCTCCCGACTGCAAACAGCAACCTTTGCCTTTTTCTTAAATCCTACTCTTTATACTGCCATAATTCTCCTAAATCCGTCTCTTCATTGTCACTTCCACCACCCAACAACATACGCCCTCTCTGGGCTAGACAAACTGCCACACTGATTGCCTTTCCTTCGGACATCACTCCTTCTAATATTCTCTGTAGTTTGATAAATCTTGCCAGCTCTCAGATCTAATCTTGTCCCATATCCTCCCGAAAAATCCCCAGATCGACCAAGTTAAGTCTCTCCTAAGTTTTCAATTAACGTTGCAAAGTACCTCTATACGATATTTTCTGTACAGCTACTATTACAACCTATAAACGTAGGCTGCAGCAAAAATGAGTTGATTCTTGCTCTCTAGACAAGTCCAGCCCCTTTGTTCATTTTCTCCTAAAATGCCATTCACCTTTATCTTAAATGATTCATCCTCTAACATCCATTTGAAATGTAAACTTCACAAAGAATTTCCCTATTTCCTACTCATAAACGTCCTCTCCCCAGAGATCACTTACCACATTATTCTTACCATTTTCACAGCACTTCCCACATTCTCACCTTCCCATCTAGACTGTAAAGATTCTTCCTATACTCCACTAGATTTAGCCCATAACATTTGCTGACAAACTGACAATCCTCCCAAAGTAATCAAGGATGACTGGAAAAGAAATGTAACTTAGTCATTAAAAAGTTATAAGACTTCAGACTATCAAACTAACACAAACTATTAAAATCAATAGTGCATTATCACTAAACAAACCTAAACTAAGATATAAGAACAGAAAACCAGTTTACACTCTAATTACCTTCCAGTTGAATGGATCTTCATTAATCAAAGAACCAGTATATGAAATTAAACATCACTTCAAACATAACGAAACAATTTGTAGGGCCTCCCGCCGACATTTGCAGTAGATTGAAACACTAAATCTAAACCTGAATCTCTTATTCTTCAAAGATCTACAAATTGCCAACCATGTTAAGCACAAACCTAAAAATGTTTAGCACAAATCACTCAGAAAACAGACAAGAGAATCACCATCTCAATTTCCCCACAACCCTCCCCCCTCGAGAAGGGGGTGCAACAGAAAAAAACACACAAAGTGGGAACAAATTTGCTACAGGGCAAAAAAAAGTCTTTAACTAGCCCAGATGAAAAGAACAAGGCCGACGTTAGTCTCTTTCGCCCCCGGCACAAATCGGGGCTACGTGATTCCCCGCGGCAAACTCTACGGGGATGTGGGCCACAAGCCTGCCCAACCCGGGTAGCTCCCTAGGCTCCTATTAGGATCCGCTCGGGCCCCTGCTACGTTCGCCCCGCGTGAGCTGAAGCCACTGACCGACTTGACAGCCGCTTCCTGCTCGTCCACTGCCAGGGCCCACGAGTCGGTGGCCATGATCCAGCGGGAAGGGAGGCCGACTCACGAAAAAATTCACCGCACGCGTGCCAACACCTGCCCTGAGTCCCCGGCCTGCGCGAGAACCTCCCCCACACGGACCGGAAGCGACGGTGCCGAAAGTGACGTCAGTTCCCGCCCGGCGCAGGCGTCACTATTCCGCGCCGCGCTGGGCATGCGCTGCAGCGTCGCCTCTTTTGGTCGTAGGCCGCCGACGCGAGTCTATCTCCGACTTCCCCGGGAGCAGTCTCTTCGCGCCTTGAAGTCCCCAAGCTCTGCGAAGTCAAACTCTTAGTCCTCACTTTATTGCCTTACTTCGCACGAAGTAACCCATGTTTTATTTTAAGCCTGTCACGTGTCTCTGTGAATTCTAAAGACTTAAGGTAAGTCCCATGAGAATGCTGTAGATGGCCGGTTTCTGCTGTTAAGAACGCGGTGGCATGTAAGACAACAAAAATCAAAACGAAACCAAGAGCCCTTAGACCCCCGTAATTCCACCACTTCGAATTCACACAGTAGCGTTATATTTTTCTTCTGGGTCCTTCCAGTCTTCATCCATATGCATCAAAGCACGGGTGTTTTACATAGACCTAAACGTACACATATAATTTTAAATTTGACCTTTTTATTATATGGCTAAGTATTTTTTCGTGTTATAATTATCGATTTCATGACATTGTAATAGTACATCAAACCCATATCGCATAAATTACCTAACTCCCCTACCTCTGTCACCTTGGGGTTATAGGTTGTTTTCAACGTTTTATCATTAATATGCAGTGAGCATCTCCATACCATCAAAAATCATCTTGTTTGCTTTCGGTTTGCTTTCTATCTCTCGTATCCCACCCCAGAATATGAACTCTTCAAGCAAGAGCAAAATTTTATCTCTTAGTCACAGCAAATTTGTGAACCTAGAAAAATTCATGACACATAGTAGCCTCTCGATATTTTTTAATGTGTGGATGAATAGATTTAATAGAGATTTTAGTTCAGAATGTATTACTTTAGGACATTTTTAATTGTAACATTTATGTCAAAACGTATGAATGACTTGAACACTTTGCAAAAGAGGATAACGTGGTTAGTAAGCACATGAAAAAGAGCTGGAAATCACTGGTTATTAAGGAAATGCAAATCAAAACCACAATGAGATACCACTGCACACTGCTAGAATGGCTAAAATTAAAAATTAATCTACCATGTGTTGGTAAGAATGTGGAATGTTAAAAAATTATTCAACGACATGGTAGAGATGGTAAGGCACATGAGATAGATATAGGGACCGCTACAATGGGATTTTTCAGTGAGGGTCAGACACAGCATGAATGAGAGGGAATTTATAGCCCAGGCGCAGGGTGGTGGTGGTGGGGAGTGGTCAGTGGATGGAAAATTACTAAGAGGAAACATAAAGGTGTAGGGGAATTCTGGTTAAGCTAACCTAATAGGATTCTTGCTGATGAAGGGTAAGACATCAGACATCACCTGGGGGATGGTGCAAAGATGAAGAACCTATCAGATATTGAGGGTGACCAAATACCAAGTGTGTGTGGGGGGGTGGTTCTTGCTAAAATTGGATTTTAGGAACTGCACAGATAGGCTTAGTAGAGGGTTCAAGAACCTGACTAAAGTTTGGTCAAGCAAGGAAACTTTGTCAGGAACAACTGGAACTCCCATAAGCTTCTGCAGAGAATGTACAATGGCACAGTGGTTTTGTATGTTTGGCAGTTTCTCACGAAGTTAAACCTACACCTACTCTGTGACCCAGCAAATCTACTCCTAGTTACTATCCAAGAGAAATGAAACATACGTCCACAGAAAGACTTGTACACAAATGTTTATAGCAAACTTCGTCAAAATAGCCCCAGACTAGAAACCCAAATGTCCATCAACAGGAGAACGGATAAACACATTATGGTAGGGGCGCCTGGTGGCTCAGTCGTTAAGCGTCTGCCTTCGGCTCAGGTCATGACCCCAGGGTCCTGGGATCGAGTCCCGCGTTGGGCTCCCCGCTCGGCGGGAAGCCTGCTTCTCCCTCTCCCACTCCCCCTGCTTGTGTTCCCTCTCTCGCTGTGTCTCTCTCTGTCAAATAAATAAATAAAATCTTAAAAAAAAAACCAAACACAAACACATTATGGTATGTTTATTCATTGAATTACTACTCAGCAATAAAAAGGAATAAACTATTCATGATGAAGTAGGTGAATCTTAGAGACATTGTATTGAAGGAAAGATGTCAGACATAAGAGATGCAATACTGTAGGATCCATGTATATGCAAGTCAAAAATAGGAAAAGGGAAATCTCTAGTGAGAACAGTCATCTGGGGGCAATGCACCTGGACGAAGGAAGATTGAGCAGGACACAAGGGAACTTCCTGGGTGATAGAAATATCTTTTTTTTTTTTTTAAGATTTTATTTATTCTGGGGCGCCTGGGTGGCTCAGTTGGTTAAGCGTCTGCTTTCAGCTCGGGTCATGATCCCAGAGTCCTGGGATCGAGCCCCTCATCGGGCTCCCTGCTCAGTGGGGAGCCTGCTTCTCCCTCTCCCTCTGCCTGCCGCTCTGCCTACTTGTGCTTTCTATCTCTCTGTCAAATAAATAAATAAAATTTATTTATTTGACAGAGCACAAGCAGGGGGAGCGATAGAGGGAGAGGGAGAGGTAGGCTCCCCACCGAGCAGGGAGCCTGATGTGGGACTCGATCCCAGGACCCCGGGATCATGACCTGAGCCGAAGTCAGACACTTAACCGACTGAGCCACCCAGGTGCCCCTAAATTTTATTTTTAAGTAATCTCTACACCCAACGTGGGGCTGGAACTCACAACCCTGATATCAAGAGTCATCTGCTCCACCGACTGAGCCAGCCAGGCATTCCAAAATGTTCTATATCTTGATTGGGTCTTGGTTACGTAGATGTATAAATTTGTCAAAACTCGTGAAACTGGGGGCACTTGGGTGACTCAGTTGATTCCAGCCTGTCGTTGGGCTCCCCACTGAGTGGGGAGTCTGCTTCTCCCTCTTCCTCTGCCCCTTCCCCCCCCCACTTGTGCTCTCTCGGGCTCTCAAATAAATAAGTGAAGTCTTTAAAAACAAAACAAACTAGTGGAACTGTATATTTAAAAAGCTATTTTAATGTATATAAATTATACTTCCCAATAACATTGATTTAAAAAGCAAAAAAAGGAAGTACTGATGAATACAGCAACAGAAATGAGAGCTTTGCCGTCTTATAGACATTATGTTGAGCAAAAGAATCAGAAACAGAGTGCATAACACGTTTCCGTTTATGTAAGTTCAAAATAGGTATGTAGGGGCGCCTCGGTGGCTCAGTCATTAAGCGTCTGCCTTCGGCTCAGGTCATGATCCCAGGGTCCTGGGTTCGAGCTCCGCATCGGGCTCCCTGCTCTGCGGGAAGCCTGCTTCTCCCTCTCCCACTCCCCCTGCTTGTGTTCCCTCTCTCACTGTGTCTCTCTCTGTCACATAAAAATCTTTAAAAAAGAAAAATAGGTATGTATATCCAATCTCTAGTGATAGAAATCAGAACAGTGGTTGCTGGGGAATGGGCTGGGGTGAGTAGGACTGGTTGAAAGGACAAAAGAGAACTTTCAGGGGTGATGAAAATATTCTGTATCTTTTTTATTTTTTAAATGTTCTGTATCTTAATTGGAGTATTGGTTACAAGGCAATGCAATGAAAAAAACAAATTTTTAAAAATATAGGTAGTAACAATTTGTACTGTAAAAAGTGTTTGTGAGGGGTTTAGAATGTTTTCTCAACTCTTAACCACTCATTGAAACAGAAGGCATGCACAGAAGTATGCCCTGTGCTACAGAAGTAAGAATGCCAAATGCCATATTGTCTTCCTAAGTAACTAGTTTAATTTCCAGCATCCTTAGCACCAATGAGTTGGGAAACTACATTGTTTATGAGGAGCCAGCACCATGGTCTAACTCTATGTGGGGCAGCAACCCTGGGGGAGACTGCTAATTGGTTTTCTGAGGAATGTTTCTTCTGTCTTACTATTGTAACAATTGCTTAAAAAAAAAACAACTAGATTTTGAAGCAGCTCTCCCTCCCAGTCTTTTTTTTTTCTTTTTTAAGATTTTATTTATTTATTTGACAGAGAGAGAGAGAGAGCAGGAACACAAGCAGGGGGAGTGGGAGAGGGAGAAGCAGGCTTCCCGCCGAGCAGGGAGCCCAATGCGGGGCTCGATCCCAGGACCCCAGGATCATGACCTGAGCCGAAGGCAGACGCGTAATGACTGAGCCACCCAGGCGCCCCACTCCCAGTCTTTCTTACCTCAAATATCTATGCAGCAAACTCTCATGAAAAGCAAAAAAGAAAGAAAGAAAAAGAAAAGCAAAAGCAACACCAACAGACTCAGTTTTAAGTTCTTTGGGGGCAGAGGATCTTGCTTAGAGCACAATTGAAGTCTGGGTGGCCACTGTCCTCTTTTGATTGCTGTTTTTTCTTAAGATTTTATTTATTTGATACAGAGAGCACAAGCAGGTAGAGCAGCAGGCAGAGGGAGAGGGAGAAGCAGGCTCCCTGCTGAGCAGAGAGCCCACACGGGGCTCCATCCTAGGACCCTAGGATCCTGAGCGAGCTGAAGGCAGACGCTTAACGAACTGAGCCACCCACGTGCCCCTGATGGCTGTTTTATTACAAAGTCAACTGCTCTGTCACTGAGAGGGTGATACCTGCATTGTTTCCACTGAGACACAACTCCTCAAGTTAAATGTGGTCTCTAGGGGAATTGAGGGTAGGACTTTTGCTTGCATTGGATTTGTAGGGTGTTTACTGAAATTTCTTTTTAGTTCACCACCTATACCTATTGGAAGGCTAGTGGGCATTTCCTTAGCCCAGGTGGGTGCTCTCAGGGAAGTCTAGGCTGAAGCTCCAGCTGGGACAATGAAACCAGCCAACCTGTTTTAGAGCAGCTCTGGGCAATAGGGAACTCTTTGCCAAGGCTATCACTTCCCTGTCAGTTAGCATTTATATTCCAAAAGGAGGGCATCCAGCCAGAAGCCACTGAGGATCCCACTCTTCTGCAGACTGGAGACTGACAGGAAGGGCAAATTCTCCTGAAGCTGCAGACTAGAGTCTCCTGCCCTAAGTCTGATTCAGCTAGACTGGGCAATGAGAACATAATGTGTTAACATTTTTTAAGGCATCCGACACGATTTACTTGAATTACCTAATTTAATTCTCATAACATTACTACTGTTACCTCCATTTTACAAATAAGGAAAATGAGGTTCAGAGAAGTTAAGTTTTCCAAGGTATCATATGGCCTGATAAGTGGCAAATTTAGGATTTGAATTCAGGGCAACCCAATTTCAGAAAGCAGTGGGCAAGAAAACCAGAAACTAAGGGCAGAGTGAGGGGCCAGCATTCCTGGGACCTCTTCCTGGGGTACTTTTTAACTGACTCTTTGGGCCTGGGTGAGCTTGAACTGCATCTTCCATGGAATTGCCCGATCACATGATTCTTTAAACTTCATCACTCAGCTGGGAATCCTGTGGGCAGGGACCTTACCTGTTTTATTCACATTTGGTTCCCCAGCATCTTGCCCAGAGCAGGGACACAGTAAACAGTTGTGGAATTAGGTAGTGAATGAATCAGTGAATGAACTGGTGATCAACAAATAACCATCTCTCATGGACACACCTGTCTCTGTGGTGTCATTTCTTCTGAGCAAATGGGTACAGGGACTTGCACTGCTTGTGCCTCTGGTGGGGGTGGGCCTGATAGGATGGTGGCTCTGCTGTGGGAACCACTTTTCCCTAATGATGCCTCTATGTACAGGAAGCAATTGGAGGGGAATAGGAAGGGGGATGCTGTAAGGATTTGGAAAATAACAGGAATAATGGCAGGAGCCAGACTAAGTTTGTATTTGGCCCACAAAGGTCTAATGACTAATTTATAATGATAATAACAAAAAAATTGTATGAAAAAGTGGGGATATTTTTAAAAGAAAATATGTAAAATGTATTCCATGTTTTCATTCATTAACACATTAGCAAAGCAGATTTCTCTGTAAAACACATCCTGCTGACAGGAATTCATTGATGATTGAGTAAAACTACTTCCTGCCGTTACTGTACTTAAGTACGAGGGACACAGACACCAAACAAGCAGTCTTAAACCTAGGCATATTTGTGTATGAAGCAGATATAGCCTAGTGGTTAAGAACGTGACCCTGGAGCCAGACTGCCCAGGCACGAGGCCTGGCTTGCTCCTTCCTGGCTATATGTTGTAGGGCAAATTTCTTAACCTCTCTGTGCCTGTTCCTCATTTGTAAAATAGGAATCATAACATATTTGTTATGAAGAGTTAATAAGTTAATCCATATAGATCTTTTTTTTTTTTTTTTAAAGATTTTATCTATTTATTTGAGACAGAGAGAATGAGAGAGAGCACATGAGAGGGGGGAGGGTCAGAGGGAGAAGCAGGCTCCCTGCCGAGCAGGGAGCCCGATGCGGGACTCGATCCCGGGACTCCAGGATCATGACCTGAGCCGAAGGCAGTCGCTTAACCAACTGAGCCACCCAGGTGCCCAATCCATATAGATCTTTAGAAGGTTACCTGACAATGTTAATAAAGCAAGTACAAGGCATGATGGGAGATTATGACGGGAGTAAGGCATGCCTTCATGAAGAAATGATTTTTACCACTGAAATGGGAAGGACCAGGAAGAGACAGAAGAAAGGGAAGGATTGGGAGAGCAGTTCCAAGGAGAAGTGTAATCAGTGGATGCAACTGGTCACAGGTTGTTAGGGGGCATCTTGGGGAGGGGTGAGTTCTCCCTCCAGGCTTCTCTCCCCATGCGGGGTATCCCAATCTCCTGTGCTCTGTTGGGGATAGAGGGACTTCCAAGAGATGAGGACTGAGCTCCCCAGGGTGGAGCAGAGGGAGTATTCTCTGAGCTCCTTCCACACTGCTCCCTGGCTGCCTGTAGCACTGGAGGGCTCCCATTTCTAGTTAACTTCTTTCCCCCCACACTCATCTTAGCCACAATCCTGGAGGTGAAAACCCCTTCACCTCACCCTTAAGTCCTTGCATTATCTTTGAATTTTTGTTTTGGCTTCAAAGTGGGCTGGGGGAGGAAATACGCTTTCAAGAAATTGGGGAGGGAAATGCACAGGACCACCAACTTCTGAGACCTAGCCCAGCACAAGGGCAAATTTCAGTGATAGTGGAGCAGAGAGTACGAGGGAGAAAGTAAAGCAAGTGAGGCACCTGATCTAGAGAGCCTAGTTAGTACATACAATGTTATGCAGTTGGGGCTTATCATTTTTTTTAAGATTTTATTTATTTGTCAGAGTGAGAGTGAGAGTGCACAAGCAGGAGGGGTGGCAGGCAGAGGGAGGAGCAGGCTCCCCGATGAGCAAGGAGCCTGATGCGGGACTCAATCCCAGGACCCTGGGATCACGACCTGAGCCAAAGGCAGATGCCCAACCGACTGAGCCACCCAGGCATTCCCCCCCCCTTTTTTTTTTAAAGACTTAATTTATTAGCAAGCACGAGTAGGGGGAGGAGCAGGGGGAGAGGAAGAAGCAGACTTCCCACCAAGCAGGTAGCCTGACAGAGGGCTCTCTCCTGGGACCCTGGGATCATGATTTCAGCCAAAAGCAGATGCTTAACGGACTGAGCCACCCAGGTGCCTCTGGGCTTACTTAAGAAAAATGGAAAGTGTGTTTGGGGGCAGGGGATGGTTTTTGTTTCGTTTTTGTTTTAAAGATTTTATTTATTTACTTGACAGAGATAGTGAGAGCAGGAACACAAGCAGGGGGAGTGGGAGAAGGAGAAGCAGGCTTCCCACTGAGCAGGGAGCCTGATGCGGGGCTCGATCCCAGGACCCTGGGATCATGACCTGAGCCGAAGGCAGACGCGTAATGACTGAGCCACCCAGCGCCCCAATGGTTTTAACCTGGAGGGTGGGATCATCAGACTCAAATGTTAGAAAGACCACACTGGCTCCAAATGAACTGGAGGAAAATCTGACTGGAGGCAGGAGCAACTGCTAGGAAGCTAATGTAGTAGACAGATGACAGTGGTGATCTAGACCAGGGTGAATGGTGATCTAGACCAGGGTGAACTCAAGAAACGTCAGATTGAACCATATAAAAGTGCCACTTTTGTAGGTCAACAACTGTCAAACAGTCCCATTTGGTTCAACCCGATAGAAGGTGGTGGATTAAAAATAGCCACAGATACTTCAGGTTCCTCCCATGAGGAGATAATTTATTTCCCTACCATCTCTGCACTGGCCTTGTCATTTTCTTCGACTAAAAGGATGTGACAGGAGTGTACTGGGGAGGGGCTCTCCGGTGGCTCAGTCAGTTAAGTGTCTGCCATCAGCTCAGGTCATCCCAGGGTCCTGGGATCGAGCCCCACATCGGGCTCTCTGCTCAGCAGAGAGCCTTGCTTCTCCTTCTCCCTCTACCGCCACCCCCCCTGCTTGTGCTCTCTCTCTGTCAAAATCTTAAAAAAAAAAAAGTGCACTGGGGAATTCTGAGCCAAGGCTTTAAGAGAACTTAGAACTTCTGCTCTCCCCTCCTGAAACCCAGAGACCATCTACCATGTTATGAAGATGAAAGACCACGTGGAGGGGTGCAGCTGTCTCAACTGAGCCCAGACACCGGCCAGGGGAATACAGCTGCGTGAGTGAGCCTGGGAGAGACCAGCAGAGCCACCCAGACTAAGTTCTTTTGAGCCATTGTTTTGGGGGTTATGTGTTACACAGCAATGGATAATAGATACAAAAGGACTTGGAGATTATTGGTTGGGGGGGCAGGAAATTCCTGATGAATCCAGATTTCTGGCTTAAGCAACAGACAATTGTAGTGCCATTTTGTGAGATAAAATTAGAGGAAGAGTCAAGAGCAGAACATGAATTTTTTGGAGTGATGGTATTTGGTGGTAGTACAAGATGATGGGTTCAATTTTGGGTATGTTGAGTACAGGATTCCTTGAAGACATCCCAAGTGCAAGTGTCATGTGGGCAGTTTTTGTTTGTTTGTTTTTTAATTTCTTTATTTGACAGAACAAGTAGGCAGAGAGGCAGGGGTAAGAGGTAAATTAAGACGTAAATAAACAAGTTAAGAGGTAAATTAAAAAGCCTACCAAGGAGACAAGAGAAGTGGTCAGAGTAGAGCAAGACCAGTGAGTGTGGTGTCACTTTAGGCACCAGAATAGTGGTTAGAGGAAGGGACTGTTATAGTGCTAAATGCTGTTGAGGAGTCAAATATAATTCAAAAGTGTTTTTTAGGGGCTCCTGGGTGGCGCAGTCGGTTGAGCGTCTGACTCTTGGTTTCAGCTCAGGTCGTGATCTCAGGGTCGTGAGATCAAGCCCTGTGTTGGGCTTTGCACTCAATGGAGAGTCTGCTTCTCTCGCCATCTCGCTCTTCCCCTCCCCCTACTCCTTGGGTATAGTTTCAGTTTTGCAAGATCCAAAAGAATTACGGAGATAGATGGTGGTGGTGGTGGCTTTACAACATTATGAATGTATTCAATACACTGTACACCTAGAAATGGTTAAGATGGTAAATTTTGTTGTGTGTATTTTACTACTACTATTACTACTACTACTACTACTACTACTACTACTACTACACACACACACACACACACACACACGGAAAAATTGAGGGGAGGGGGAACCAGCTAGTGGGGTGGGAGAGGTTGAAAATACGAGAGGGAGTAGATGGAGCAAGTCCTTAAACAGCCACAGGAAAGGGAATTTGGTGCACTGGTAGAGAAATTTAGATAATAGGGACTTCTCCCATTGTAATAGGAGGGAGAGGGAAGGATAGCTGTGCTTGGGGAAAGGTCTGGTGGCAGAAAGCTGAGGGAGTTTCCTTGTGTTGATTGTTTACTCCGAGTATGGAGATAATGGAGTTGGAAGGTGGAGGTGAGTGAAAGTCTTAAAATGGTAACTGGACAGAGTGGAAGAGTTAACCTGAAAGGACTAATGAGGGGCACCTGGGTGGCTTCATTGGTTAAGCATATGACTCTTGGTGTCAGATCAGGTTTTAATCTCAAGGTTGCGAGTTCAAGCCCTGCGTTGGGCTCCACACTGGGCTGGAGCCTACTTAAAAAAAGAAAGGACTAATGAACCAGGAGGCTAGAGGTACTGCAACTGTTTCTGAGGTGGTCCCCTCCATGGGCATTAAAGACAAAATCAGATGACTAGAACAATATTTGTCCCTCTAGCATAACCTTACTTGTTTTAGAAGCTAAAACAGTGCCAGAACACTGGGATCTATTCTGTTGTTAAACCTGGATTCAATTGGCATTGGTTTATCAGGACATTTCTTGTGTAAATTTAGAAGCTGTTGGTGTCTGAGAGGAACGCAGACCAGAGGACAACACACCTACCACACTTGACCACACACCTGACCAGAGGTGACTCTTGTTCTTTCAAGTCTAAGCATGGGGATGTGTGCTCTCAGGGATAAGCTAACCTGAGACTACTTGGCTTTTCTCCAATTGGAGAATTCCAAGGATGGTGGAAGCATATGAATAAAGATAGAACAGTACAGTCCTATCTTTATGTGTACTGGTACTTCCAGGAGAGTTCCATTTAAATACCGCCCCCCACCCCACCTTCTTAAGGGAGATGACAGTAGCCCTGGGCTATAGATCTGCATGAACAGAAGATCTGCCATCCTGCCTGAGAGAGATGGCTAAAGTGGAAAAGAGAATGATCTCACCTGAGCAGCTGACACCCAAACAGTCACCAATCTCAGACCACATCTAATATTTTCCTCCACCTACTCCTATCACCCGTCTTACAACTAGAACTACTATGGAGAAACCCCTTGCTCCGATGAATAATCACACCAGAATGGTTTCTAAGCCAAGGCAGAAGCATCTAGCAACAGGGGCTGGAGGACAAGAGGGCATAAGTATTGAGTGTGACAAATACCCTCCAAGCAGATCTCCACTTGGTCTGACTTCCAACAAAGTGTTTTGAAGCTACTCTGGGAAAGCCCTGTCCCAGATTCAGGATTGGGAATGCAAGGTACTGGAGTCTCCTAGCATCAGCCCCTCTGGTTCCCTTACCTCCATTGTGTCATTTTTGGAAGATGCTGCACTCTGATTCAATCAACAGAATAAAGAACAATTATTCTCAAGCAGAAAAAGCCAAGTCAGGTAAAACTGCAAAGTTCCTAAGAACATGACATCTGTGTCTAGGACCAAGAGAAACCTGAAGACCCCTGAAATCTACAAGATGTTAAAGAGGGGCCAAGTCCCTGCTTGCAGAGGTGACAGGCCTGAAATCATACATGCTATATATGAGACTCACTCCTTATGCATCTGTTCTTTCCAAACCTTCCCTTTGGGTTTCTCCCCAGAATTTTATACAATGGATCTTTTAGAGCCACAAATCCTTTTTGGAATAACAAGTAGGTATAAAAGCCCATCATTTTTGCTGTGATACCCCTCCAGTCTACTTCTTTTGTACTTTCAGTACAATCAGTGGCACCTTGGCACTTGCTTTGTGATGGGACTGATGCAATCATCTTCAAACTGTTTTCTCAGATGCCTGCCTTTTCCAGCTCCAATATATCCTACATACCTCTGCTAGACTACCCCCCCCGCCCCCGCAAAAACCCCCACCAATTTCACCACTTCCTTTCTGTGATTTAACAATCTGTGACTGTTCACTAATAAATCCAAACACTGTTCAGTCAGGTTTTCGTTTTGTACCTCATGAGACTTTTCTCTGTCCACAGGGCGAAGCTGCTCTCCTCACTGCCCCTCCAGGATTTATCCTGGAGAAGCTATTTTAGTTTTAATATTACTTTCCACTGCCTGTGGCACTCTTGTCACTTTTCTCTCAGAAGCAAACTCCGCTCCTTCATGACATCTCTAGCCTAAGAAATCCTTACCTTCTGAATACCAGTGACACTGAATGAAACTGCCTTCATGTTAGATAAACAAGATGAAACAAAGGGAGAAGACCTGCTTTCAAGGCCTATTTGTATTTCTTTCCTAGGACTAGAAAAATAGAATGTAAGGACTTTGTTTTTACTGGCATCTACCTTCTTTCTAATTAGGTAACCAGTATTCTCTGGTTTACCAACAGGAAGAAAGGAACGTGAGAAGCCCTGTGGCAACTGAGTAGGGCCCTTGGCCTATAGAGACATCACAACTGTTCATGCTGGAGCAGTGTCAACTCTGAAATGGAATAGTAGTATCAGGTGATGACTAACCTATGGAATCATAAATGTCTCCACTTCGGCATGATCACTAATACTGGCAATCCAAAACATACTGGTTTTTTATACTCATTAATGGTGTCCTGGTAACATGCACACTTCATAATTAAATTCAGTTAACATCAATAACAAATACATCACCATTTGACTACTTCTTATGCACACAGCCATTCAATGACACTCCAAAAAAACCCAATAAAATCCACTGTTTATGGATAATGAACATATCTAGAATCTTCCACTGGGCCAAAAATCTCCTTTTCCAAGTGAGTTTCTCTGTTCTAGGACAGTTTATCATTCCATACATGGGAACTTACTAAAAAGAGTAAAAAAAACTTGGGACTGAAGCTTATGAAGGGCTCAGTACATTCCAGTACATCACTGATGTCTGAAGACAACACGGTCACAGAGGCTGTGGACCACTGAGCCCTGGGAGCCAAGCTCTGACAGGGATGAATATGGATTGTGAAGAAATAGGGACTGCAGTGATACTGGGGTGACACTGCAGAGCCATCCATAACAATGAGTCTTTCCTTATTAAAAGACATTCCTTTGGGAGTCTGTCCCCAGGAAAATGCATTTAAACTCAAAATATAGCATACACTTCGTAGACTCCATGAAACCCATCTAGTGAATTCTTAGGAGTCCAAGCCCCCAGATTCAGAACTGTTGATCTAGATTTCTGCCAGATACCTATTTACTCCTACTATTGAAAAGTCTGAAGCCTATTCCTTCCCATTTTCCTGCTTAGATTTAGGGCTACGCAGTAGACAGATTATAAATGTTGTGAGAAGTGAGGAATGTAGGTCAGCCTGCAGCCTTGTGAGGAGTCAGTACTACTCCTTTTTAATTATTGCCTTTGTTTTAGTTATTTCAAGGTTGGTCCACAGCACTGCAGAAGATGGGAAACAAAAATTTCTTCTCTTCTTAAAAGACTCCTAAGGTGGGTCAGAGTTGGCCGGAAGCAGAGAAGACTCTACAGTCAAATGCCTGCTGGGGAAATGTGGCAGGACTGGCAGTCTGTTGGTCTCTGCAGTGTCTGTAATGTCAGATTAAGGAAACCACCTGAAGGCTGGCATTGGCCCCTTTCCTTCCCAGGAAACAGATCTGGTCCTAAAACATGGAAACACTTAAAAGGATAGTCTGGGATTGGAATAGTTTTCATCACAGAAAATCCCTCTTCCAGGGCTGGGCCTAGACAAAGTAGCCATTCAGTAGAGCTGGAGAGGACTCCTTGTGGCTGGGGTTTCAGTTTCATCTCATCCTTGCTCTGTAATTCCGTGGGTACCATCGGCCTTGGCCAGGTATGAGGAATCGTCCGTTACTAATATTCACTCTGACTGTTCTGCACAAAGATGCCCAGTAAGGAGGGAGCCAAGTCCTTGGCAGTTACTCCTGCAGTGCACAGGTGAATGGCCATAGTCCTTCTAGTCCCTTATTGTACTCTGTATTCCAAGAACTGTGAACACAGTCGTTTGGAATCACTTTACAACCAAGACACCAGATACCTGAAATCATACCCCAGCTCTGACAAATCTTGCCTTCTGGGATCTGGAGACAAAGCAAGTATTTGTGACTACTGTTGATCACTTCTGGAGCAGCTTTGAGGCTGGCCATGAGTGACCTGAAGCCACAATTTTTACTGAAGATCCAAACCTTAGATCACCTTTTATTTGCCTGGGGCTCTAAGGGGTCAAGGTGACATTAGGGATTATAAAAAAGATGCTGCAAGTGCCTGTGAGCCCAGGTTGTGCAGCAAGCTAGGGGGCCACCACAAACTCCACAGTGATTTGTCCACAGGCCTTGCTCAAGCACAGTCAAGGGACCACCAGTAATCAGATGTGCACCATACACAGATTGCACCTGCTGATGAGAACCAGGATGTCGTGGTCCTGCAACACAAGCCTGCATACACCAAAAGTCCCAGGGTGGCATTTTGGTCCATGCTTAGCAAATCCCTTCTTGCTGTGGGCATCAGGACAGAGGGAGCTGACAACACTCAGATGAGCTGTCCCACCCCAAATCCAAAGCACCAGCTCAGAGGCCTCGTGCCATACTCCAAACATGATGGCTGGCTTATACACCTATCCTACTTGGGGCCTCTCTCTGCATCCCTCTTCACCTCTATTCTGTCTGGTGGCTGTCCTGAACACTCCTGGCCAGAAAATAGGCAGGGGCTGCCACAGGGATCTTGAGCAAGTGATTAGCGACAACATCAGGATGGGGAAGAAGCTGGCCAAAAAAAAGACGGAATTTCCAAAAGGTAAATTTCTGTGTATTCACGCCTAATCCTTAGAAGTTGTGTAAACAATTTTTTTCTACCTTCCCCCATCAGTTGCACAATTTTTGTCTAGTCCAAACGTAATTTAAAATGAGGTAGGTAGTTTCTCTCTCCTCTGCCTTTGTCTTTGTGGTGACTGTCGAGGCCTGTGCCGTGAAAGCACCGGTCTCCCGTGCAGGCGGAGTGCCGGGGGTGGGCACTGGCGACTGGTGGAGCGTCTCAGTTGGCTATCTTCTCAATCTCGTCCAAATCATCCGTGTCCAATCTTTCTATTTTCTTATCTGGGGAGAAAAATGAGAATTCAGAGAGAAATCAACGCGGGGCTCCCATGGAGACACACACCTAGGGAAGGGACAGCACGGCAGGGAGAGAGGAAACACACAGGGTTCTGCCCGGCCTAGGAACAGGGCCATGCCTCTGGCCACAGCCATCTTTCCCTTGACCCCAAAGACTCCCGGTGCCTGAGCGAGGGACAGCCCTAGGCCCTTCGGCCTGGCCAGGGGGGCACTGTCATTCGAGTCCCTGGCCCTGAAAACTCGCCAGGTGTGCTCTTTGAGACTTCCATACTGTAGGAAAGGAGGGGACTGTTACAGGGACACAGGCTTCTCTCGGGGCCACGGGAGAACCCACCCTTCCCCCTCCTTTGGACTCCCCCTGTAAGGAAGGGCCCTGGCGGGGACCACTCCCAGCCACTCACTAAAATGCTCCTGGATTCTGTTGAGGATGTTCATGCTGTGCTTGCTGTCAACCATGTTCACTGCCAGGCCCCTCTTGCCAAAGCGGCCCGTGCGCCCGATCCGGTGCAGGTAGGTCTCGTTGTCCGGGTTCCCATCCTTGTCCACGGGGAGGTCAAAGTTGATGACAACAGAAACCTGTTCGACATCAATACCTGCACGAAAGACAGGTGGAGAGGAGTCAGGACGGGAGACAAAAACCACCGCCAACCAAGCGAGGCTGAAATGCACCAGCTTCAGGTGGAAGGAAGAGTCTGGGGCAGGCCGGCTCTGGGATTCGGGGACGGGGGCACGCAGCAGAACCCAGAGGGAAAAACAGAACTTGGGCAGGTGCTAACAAAATTACACTGCCAGTGAGTGAGCCTCTGCTAGACACCAGTACCTGGAGATGCAGCCAGAACCTCAGTGGGGGCCCCAGAGAGAGCAGGCACTGTCCTGAACCAGTGCGATGCTGGTCCGTGTCCTTCCAGCATCGGGGCCCCTGGCTTCTGTGACAGTTCTTATCTGCCGGGGGAATCCAGTCTCTCCAGCACCAACCCCACGTGGACTCCCTCAAACCAGCGGAGTGCCCTGTATAGGATGACTTCCCTGCCGACCCGGGGCCTGGCGGACAGACGCATTCCCTGCTCACCGCGGGCACACACGTTGGTGGTCACCAGCACCTTCTCTTTGCCTTCTCGGAAGCGCTCGATCACCGCAGCCCTCTGCTCCACCATCATTTCGCCACTCAGCAGGGCCACCTGGTGGCCTTCTTTTGAGAGCTCTGCTGCCAGCCAGCTCGCTGTTTTGCGGGTCTGGAGTGAACAGAATTGTTTTAAATGAATGTTTTTAATGTTTAAAAAAAAAGATACCTGCAAAAAAGTGGTTTACTGCTGTTAAAGTACATGAAGACCTGCTGAGTTGAGTCAGCAGGAAAGGCTTACCAATTTCACAAATAATTTTAGCCATGTCATTTTTTTTTTTTTGATGAATTACTTAAAATCATCTTAGTGTTCAGCTAGGAAGAGTGAGGTGTGAGCCAAAGGTCTTCATTCTCAAATAGTCTATATTCTTTTTTTTTTTT